GTGGTGATGATGACTGTGGAAGAACCAATGAACTTCCCAGTGGCGGTGACAACAATAAAATTGGTGGATTTCTTCAGGGAGAGAGTGGGGATGGGGGGAAGTGGAGGGAGATCTCTGAAACTTTTACCATTTCGTCATTTTCCAGTTTGAATTTCCTCCATATTCAAACCCCCTTTAACATGAATGCGAATTTCTGACACAAATCAAAATTTAAATCTGAAGCTTCGACTGATTTCCACCATTCATCTTCCTTCTCCATTATTACATATCCTAATTTCCACCATTCTTAATCCCTTTAGCATGGATGGGAGTTTCTGATGCCACAATCTAGTTTAAATCTTAAGCTTGATTGACATCCACTGAGGTCAAAACAAGGGATTGTAAGAGAGAGAGAAGTGAGGAGAAAGATTTGAGAATCGAGTCCCAAGGGAAGGAACAGAGACGTTATAAAAAGAGCCAGATGTTAAAAGGGCAATTTTGTCATTGCATTAGATAACAAAGTGGAGTAAAGTTCCAGAAGTATTTTTGGACCGCAAATAGCACTTTCCATATAAATAATATGCTATATGAAGACTTCGTCCTTAACTAGAGTCGGATTGCTTTTCTGGGTAGGTTGTATTTATATTCTTTCCCAAACTTCTGCAGGGATGTGGAGACTCTCATTGTTGAAATGCTTCAAGCTGCTATGCCTCAAGTTGGTTGATTACACTGAAGAATAGCAAAGAGGTGTGCTTTCCCAAATTCGTAATGCAATTTCTTGCTTGATCATTTAGTTGTCATCGACATTGTAATCATTGCTCTACCTTATCCTGGTCTTATCGCAACTGATTATTGAATCTGTTACCCAAGTAGACCGCAAGCGTTGAAGTCCCCCAGGTTGCGTGGAGGCTGGTTCCACGAGAGGGGAATTTTGTTGAGGCGTCTGCTTTACATGCTCCTAGCCAACTGCTCTATCCCACTGGGGATTTAGTACATAGTACTTCTGAATTAAGTACAAAACCTGGTTCTGTTAAACTCACAAATAATATTCAAATCTTGCAAATAATCAATCTTTGTGAATATATTTCAAATTCTTCATGAATTTTCTTTTCATTTGATGCAGTTTTGGAATAACTGTTTGATATTTAATAGTTTTATCTGGTCTAACTGACGTCTATTCCACAAGAAATTGCTCTAGAAGTTCCTCCAGAATTTGATCTGGATTTGAATCAAATGCAGCAACTCTGTTTTTCTCTGTGGCTGTGAATATCCCAAACATTGAACATTAATTCATTCAGTGGTGGTGCTCCTAAAAAAATAGTCGTGACTATTTTCTTAGATTTTTCATGAAATGTAGTTCATAGAGTCCCAGATGTTCTAACACTTGTGTCGCACACATGGTTGTGTTCTGAAAATAATAGCGTGTAAATATTCATTAGCTCTAGTTTTTAATTTTCTGTTTTTATATTGCTTTATTTGTAAATGCAGTGCTCGTCTTTTTTTCAAAGTCATGGAGATACGTCATAAGTTAGTAGTCCATCATTTGGATAAAGTGTTTACATTATGGAATTTGGATCCAGATAGATACTCTTATATGGAATTGCATGATGATTGTTATAAGTATTGTAGTTGTCCATTGTTTGGTGATGTGGCGGTTGCACTTAGAATTGAATACGAATTATATGGTAGTAAACTCAGAATGTTGGTTGTTGATGACAATGATTTGCTGGAGATGTTTAGTTTTCACAATTGTAGGAGTGACAAACATATTTGTCGATATAATTCCAGCTATCAATGTTGAGATTCCAAACAATGGACCACAACCTGTACCTGTATCAATTGAAACTTCTTCTGTCCATGTTAGAAAACTAATTTATTTCTATCAATGTTAGGGACTGCAGATTCTGGAGGAAGCCTCCCTTGATGAATTTCAAAAGTTCAGTGAAGACGAACGTAAATGTGCACAACCGGAGGAATGATGAATAGATTTAACAAGTTCTAGGAAGAGGCATAATAGAATAGCATTTTGCCAAAGATTTGTAACAGCTTGACTTGTAGAAGCCCCAATATGAAGATCTGAGTTGCAGAACTTGTTATGAACCATTTCTTGAAGTAGTCAAATGCCTTTTGAAAGTGATGTTGCAGAGAGTTATTGTTAGATCTAACTTCTTCATATGTCTTGGTAAAGTAGGGTTAAAGAAATGCAGTTTTTCCAAATGAAGACGATCATTTGTTTACAAATTATAGACTATGCGTAGATATTTTTATTGTTATCCTAGAGAATTGTTAAGCTACAGGCACGTGAGAGACCACCTAAGTTTCTCCTTCAAGTCGCATACATTTCCAAATTCAGATTTGGTTTCTTCAAGTAAGGTTTTATTAAATGATAAATAATAATAATAATAATAATAATAATAAATAAATAAATAATAATAATAATAATAATAATTAAAAAAGAGAGAGAGAATGTTGTTTGCGTTTAGCAACAGAAAACGTTTTCTTGTTTCTATTGTCAACTCTTAAAGAAGTAAAACAAAAGCAAAAAATATGTTGAATAATATGTTTTTGTTTTTTTGTAACAGAAAATGTTTTTCATTTTTATGAAGAAATGAGAAAACATAAAAAAATATTTCTCATGTTTTTGACACTGTTGAGTAAAAACGTTTTCACTATTATTATTACATATACGGTTCATTTCAAATAAAATGTATGTTATTCATGTTATATATTAATGCTACATATTAAATGCTAATAAAAATAATTTTTTTAATATATAATTATAATTATATTATATATTAGTGTAAATTATTTTTTATTTAACAAAAATATATTTTTAAAATATAATATATTATATAATAGAGTAAATTATTTTTTGGGACAACAAAAATTATGAGTTATTATATATTTATTTTTTATAGTATTATTAAGTTATTATGCAAAAGATATAATATATTATTATATACCATATCTATATTATAGTTATATTATTTATTATAATATAATATATGTTAAATATATTATATATTTTATAATAAATGTATATATGATGCATATGCATGCACTTATATACATAATTGGTGAGAGTGTTTTTGTCCTAATATATCTTATTTTGTACTTATGTATTGAGTATTATTATGATTTGTGATTTTAAATTGAATATTATATTTTTAATATTTGTAAAATAATTGAATTGCATATATATGTATATGGATCTTACTTTTTGAAAAATAAATGCTTCTGTTGGGGTTTGAGATAATTTTTTTTTTTCATGATGCTGCATATTGGGTACTTTTTATCCCTGAACTGTTATACTAGTGTATTGATGGCATTAGTTACACTTTGTCTGTCAGTTCAATCTAAATCTATTATGGTCACATAATGTGCTGATTTACTATATATTTTAAATAAGAACTAGTTATCATGTGCACACATGCGTGACTATTTTATGGTACTCAATGACCCACTTGAGTTGTGACTATTTTAAATTATTGATGTGCTATATGAGGAACTCTAATTTTTACTCCTCCGTCTTTCTATCCTTATTTCTCGCCACCATTTACCAATTCCTTAACACCAGCTCCACGGAGTAACTAGTAATGGGCTAACCTGGGCTATAGCCCAGGTCCAATTGAAAAAAAAAATTTAGTAATATTGTTTTTATAAGATGATATACTACTCTTCTTCTTATTAGTTTAGCCCAATCCATAATATTCTATAAATAAAAAGAGTTATAAAATTTATAAACGCTAAGCCTTGAATATGAGCAAGTCCACGAACCATGGACATGCCCAATCACAAAATAAACCATAATAAAACATAACAGAGCTAACCTAGTAAATCAAACACATTATTAGTTTATGGAAAAATACATAAACTCTTCGTATGTAAGGCACTAAGATATATGTGAATGAATATTATGGATTATTATTGTTAATCCAGTGAAATATTGATTTTTATTTTTGTAAAAATATATATAAAAAAAAGGGTTGATAACTTGATGATTTCTTGTTAAGTTGGATAATTTACTATATAATAGATTAATAATTAGTAAGGGCAGAGCGCATAAGTCTTTCTTTCTAATGTAAATTTGTTGATAAGGAACATATATATTTTGCATTATTGGACGTGTTTGTTTTAATATTTGTATGAAGAAGACTTTTGTAAAAATATATATAAAAAAAAGGGTTGATAACTTGATGATTTCTTGTTAAGTTGGATAATTTACTATATAATAGATTAATAATTAGTAAGGGCAGAGCGCATAAGTCTTTCTTTCTAATGTAAATTTGTTGATAAGGAACATATATATTTTGCATTATTGGACGTGTTTGTTTTAATATTTGTATGAAGAAGACTTCAGTAGATTCTTGACTGTGAAAATAAGTAAATGTGTTAGAAGGTTGTAAATTATTGGATTTAATTAAATGACTAATGTATGAGAATTTCGTATTTAGAGCATGGATGACACACTGAGTAATCATAAATTTAATTATTTTTAACTCTCCTATTTTGCAATCCTGGCTCCGTCCCTGACCAGCTTTGCCCTTTAATGCCACCATATTTGCTATTGTGATTGGAGTTTGCGTATAAAAAGTTGGCCAACTAATTAAGATCAGAATGTCCCATTTTAAGATTTGTGGTTGGTTTGTTTCCATAGTTTTTATTTTTTTATTTTTTTAATTTGAAAAATTATTAACTTGTTCTTTTAAATTTTAAATATTTAAATTTTAAATTTTGAACATAAAAGATACAAGATTAATTACATTTACACTCTTAAATTTACCGTATTGATAACAAGGTGAAAGTTACTACTCCGTATTAACTTGGGACTGACAAAAAAGAAAGCATGACGACACCTTGAGTCAGAGACGGACTATATAGAATTATAGATAGATACATAAACAACCAGTTCTGGTTTTATTAGGGTTTTGATTTAGTTGCCTATATAAGTCACAAGGCAAGCGGTAGCAGAAGGTAAGATCGAAAGGCGTCCGCTTGAGAGATCAGAATTTGTTGACGGAATGGCTTCCCACTTTAAAAGGTGCCGCTGGAATAATGCGCAGAGATCGTCGTCGGCGGACCAAATCTCTGTCGCCGTCGCTGCTTCTGAAATCATCGGCTGCAACGCCGACCTGGTTGTGGAGATCCTTCGGCGTCTGCCGCCGAAATCCGTCCTTCGATTCAAGTCAGTTTCTAAAGCATGGCTCTCTCTCATCTCCAGTGGTCGCTTCTGTCTCCTCCACTGGCAACAGCAGCATCCACAATCTCATGATCCCAAAATCGCCGGCCTTTTCTTAACCGGTAAATACGGATCTGAATTCATCAAATACATTCCTCTCATTCACTCTGAATTGAAGAATGGATGTAATAGTTCTACTATTACTATTAATGCCGAAGATGTAAAGCAGTCACTCAGTGCTCACTTTCCTGACATTACTAGTACTGTCATAGAAGACTCTCGTAATGGTTTTGTACTCCTCTACTTAGTTCAAAAGCATCAGAATAGGATGTCGTACCATGTTTACAATCCCACTACAAAGAAATTACGCACTCTTCCCGGGCTCTTTTATCTTTCTGACTCTTTATATATGATTTTTGATCCTTTGAAATCACCTCACTACAAAGTTGTTTTACTTAAAACTATACTAAATTGTGGTGCCTACTCGTGTTATGTACATATTTATTCCTCACAAACCCATGCCTGGCGGGCGGCACAACCCAATATTGGTGATCATCATCCTTTTAGGGCACCATTAAGTGTGCATTTCGGTGATGGAGTCTATTGCAATGGTTCCATCCATTGGATTTCCTTCTCCCAACTATCACAACAACCTTCCCTATACTTTGATGTTGATCAAGAAAGATTCTGCCCAATGCCATCTGCACCATTTCAGCCTGTTACTGTTCAACGCTGGTATTTTGGAGAGTCCAGAGGTCATTTGCATCTTATTGAATATTGTGATGGTACTGGATTTAATGCCAACATCTTTGAGATGGAAAGCGACTACTCCAAGTGGTCATTGAAGTACCGGGTTAGGCTTAACTCCATGATGAATGATCTAATTGCATCAAAACCGGAGATGGTTGTCCACCCTGAGACACTCACTGTGCTTGGTTTAATTCATGGAGAAGATGACGGGGATGTGTTTTTGGTGATATTTGTAGACCCAACTATGATCATCTCCTACAACATTAAGGATAACACCTTTAAGAAGCTAGATGATGTAGCGAGCCTTCCTGTTTCTTCTCCTCCTAGGCCTTCGTGGCGTGTCCAACGAAACATTGAGAACATCTTTCCTATTTGAGAATCACATGGTTTGGGATGGTTGGTCACTGTTTCAGTATTTTATGTCCATCAATTTCACTCTATGGTTGTTTGTCACCGGTTAATTTAGTACGCTACCTTGTTTTGTGGTACTCAATGACCACTTGTGTTATGACTATTTCAATTTATTGTAGTTTCATTTTCTATCATATTATATATGAAATTGATTGATTTATCGAGTTTGCAGTTCTTTGCTTAGAAAAATCTTGTTGCTTTTATACTATGCTCTTGGTATCATACCGAAATTAAGTCTGCTTTTCAGTATGTTACTTCCTCCTAACAACACCGAGTGTGTTATATTCTAATTATTAGAAGACAAGAAATGCCGCAAATATTATACTGCATTGTGAATTGATAGAGTGCAAATTTATAAGATATATAAATCGTATTGGAAAGATGAATTCAAATGTATAAGATATATAAAAATGTGATTAACAACATTTGCTGCCATGTAAAGCTCTTCCAATTTTTATGCCTAAGTTGCACTAGTTGTCACTGTTTATTTGTGTAATCAATATCCCCTCTTCAAATGATAAGTTTGTTATATATTTTACTCCTGTCTGTCCTTGTACACTATAAGAATTTTATGCAACTGGCGGTTTTTCACCAGCAGTTCTAGAAGTGCGAGAATTTATGTTATTTTATAGTTTTGTCCGGCTGTTTAGTGTGCCGGACTAAAAAAGCGGCATGTTTGGAAAATCAAATATTACTTCACAGTTCTTACACAGAACTCTGCAGAATCCTCTATACTCTCTTGGCAGGAGAAGATCTAGGGTGCTCTTGGCAGAAGTTTACCCTCTTTCTCATGTCGCTGCTCTTGCCTCTTCGATCGTGGTATGTTTGGGCAATCAAATCATTTCTTTGCTCGTTAACAACTGATCAGATCAGGTTCTTTGCTCATTCACAACTGATCGTGGTATGTTTGGGAATTTGTAGATTAATTGTTTTTGACATAAATGTAGAAAGCAAAATGAATATTCAGGTGTGGGTTTTAGTCTTTTTGAGTATGAAAAGAAGCTTGCTTCCAATTACAATCAATACTCAAATTATTATATATATATATATTTTTATTTTCGTGTCATTCACAGAGTTGAAAGCATAGCCAAAGATGTAGTAGAATCATGACAAGACGGTGGTAGCCAGTGTAGTCGATCCCAAGTATGTCCAATCACGACTCTATGTCCTACCTTAAATTTTGCAAATGTTTAGTGGGTTGGTGTTTGGTCTTTTGTTTATACTAACATTTGCATGAAGCAATTTTCTTTTGAATTTTATGGCAGAACATATGAAAAGTAGAATATAAAAAAATAAGTAAGGGCCTCAAGGGGCACCACAATTTTGTGGGGGAAAAAAAAATTCCAGCTCCTTTATTAGCAGGAGTAAGGGGCAAAATATTTGCTAGATCTGTGGGTTGTTAAGGCTTTACTGTTATTAAAACTTGTTGAGAGTGGAGCCCATTTTGGGATCTTATTTTAGGCTATACTAAGAGCATTCAGCCTGTGATGAATGATGATTATAGTTATTTTTTGATAAAAAATACATTCCGGTTGTTATTGTGAGATCATTGTAGTAAATTAATTTACTTCAAGGCTTTAGAAAGATTTCTTAAACTTCAATTATTACTAGTGCTTCTTATTGTTCGGATGACATGTGTTCAAACATTTACTTTTTTTCATCATTGCCATCGTCCTTACCTTTTTTATTTATGTTTGTTCTTATTTAGCCAGTAAGGCCTTCTGAAGTAGTTGCCAAGTTCTAGATCCATTTCAGGGATGACAACATCTTCCATAAGAATGTGTTTTCACGAGCTAATCAATAACAAAGTTGTGACTTTTGACGCTTTGGAGGTTTTTGAAGATGGAATCTTCTCTATAAATGGTTTACACTGAAACATTTGAATTTTGACCATGAAAGTTCTTGTTAGTTATGATGAGATCCATGCCGAGTTCTGCTCAAATGAATCTAGGAAGTGCTACTGGTCTGTATAACTCTGTGATATATTCTAATCATTACCAAGTTGACAGATCATAGTTAGACTATCTTCCTTACTGTTTGCAAAATGGTTTTGAATTCCTCAAGATTGTCCTGACGAACAAAATCTTGCTATCTTGCATCTTTGGGAGCATTAACTTATCGATGACATGTTTATCTAGTCATAGAGAATTTTTTTTTTTTTGGTAAGTAAAATTTATAAAAAGCACTCAAAAGGGGAGCGAATCCCAAAGAGAAACCAATGCTAATCTGATTGGCCGTTACTATTAAACTTTAATGAAAAAAATATCTGATGTTTGATTGCACTGGCTTCAGTTCCTCTCTTTTTTTTTTTTTTTTTTTTCCTTTTCATCTTTCTTTTGATCTTTTTCCTTTCTTTATGTCTTCATGCTTGGAAGGTCATTGAAATTGGAAAGAGATAACTTGTGGGAAAGAAAGTTGGTAATCAAGGGTAAAATAAACTGGTTATCTTGTTAAGCATATGTTCGTTATCCCCTGTTCTCTGTGTTACTACACAAAATACACAAAATATCAGCCATATCCCCATTGTTAAAGTGGTCTACTGTGGTGCAATCACTGGTGGTCATATGGCCTTGAAATATATATAAGAGATTAGCTTGAGTTTAGCGCTAGATTTCTTTTTCCTTCCAAAAATCCATTCTGGCAAATAGAATTACAAGAATGTTCGAGTTTTAGGTATCATTGTTCATGCAAGAGTTAGTATATAAGGTGGTAACAATAAATTTCTTACCACAAGTTTATCTGGATTAAACAACCATACAAAGTTTTCATATTGCTTCTTTCCTTAAATAATCATTAAGTTTTAGGATGATTCTTATGTTATTATTTTCTTTATCAACTTCATTACTCAAACTGTCTGCCTGATTTTTTTTTTTTTTTTTTCCAGCTTATGTACTGAGATCAATATATTTTATTGGTTTGGTAGGGAAGAGTGCAGGTATACCTGAGCGTCGTCAAGATTGTTGATGCTAGAGGAGTCTCAGTCTATAAAACACAACTTGGTTGCTGGATGAAGATAATTTCGAGTTTCAGTAGCCGTGATTTACAAATTCAACTTGTATCCAGTGCATGATATTTGTTAACCTTGTCCGCGAGTGAAGTTTCTGTTTTGGGGACAATTAGGAATGTGCTGTTCCTGTATGGCTTTCATAAAATCCTCGTGGTATTCTGTCATTTGCATTTGCCCTACTGAAATTGAGTTTAACAGCAGAGGAAGCCCTGCACTTGTATGATGGAACAATAAAAAAAACTATAACAATGTCCAATACAATTCTATGGGAAGTGGAAATGAGCAACTTGAACATACATCTTGGGGGTTGTTGCTAGACTCCACAAGCTACACAAATGCCAATATTGAAACCTCTAGAGCTCAATGTTTCAAAAGCTAAACCTGTACTTAATTTCTCAATACAGACAGGTGAGGTGTTCTGTCTCAAATTTATGCATGATTGGGTGAATCCTTGGAAACCATTTGTTTCAAATACAGCCAATGACCCGAATTACATGACAGGCTACATGGACCTAAAAGGCATTTTAGGCATCTCCTTTACTGGGTCTGAAAGTGGATCAGATATTTCAATGCTCTCCATAATAGGAAAAGGTTCAAAAGAGTTTTGAGAGGAAGACCACTTCTTTATATGAAGACAGAAGCAACTATGGATCCATGCAATCTGTACCCCGAACTTCATCGGACTACAACAGTAATCGAGGAATTGTTCACGAGTATGCCTCTTCTGGAGCATCTAGTAGCTCATCAACAAAGATTCTATGCAGATTTGGTGGTAAAATTCTACCGCTGCCAAGTGATGCAAATCTCAGATATGTAGGAGGTGAAATGCGCATAATTCGTATCGGCAAGGATATTGCTTGGCACGAGCTGTGGCAGAAAACTGTAACAGTGTACAACCAAACTCATACAATTAAATATCAGCTTCCTGGGGAGGATCTTGATGCCTTGGTTTCTCTGTGTCTTGTGATGAGGATCTGCAGAATATGATGGAGGAATGCAGTGTATTAGAGGATGGAGAAGGCTCGAAGAAACTTAGGATGTTTCTGTTCTCCATGGGCGATTTGGATGATTCTCATTATGGTCTGGGCAGCACTGATGGTGACTTTGAGATTCAGTATGTAGTTGCTGTTAATGGCATGGCCATGGGATCCAGAAAGAACTCAACTCTTCATGGTCTAGCGAGCTCTTCAGGAAATAATTTAAATGAGCTAGGACAGAATGTTGAGGGAAACACAGGTAGAATTACGTCTGAATTTGGTGGAATTAGTAGTTCACCTTTGACTGGCTTTACTGTCTCATCTTCGACAACTCAATATTCTCAACCGATTCAACTAAGTTCCTCCAATGCTTACGAAAATCATCCACAGATTTATCATGGCCAGCTAATACATCATGGCACTATGGCTATGATCATCCTCGGCTTTCTAATCGCTCATCTTTTGGAGAAAGTTCTGTTCCAAACCCTGTTGATGGACTTATGACTCATCAAGGTGGTGTGAATGAAGGGCAACCGTCTAGTGGCTTATATGCACATGAAACACAAATGCATGTAAAGGAGGTGAAGCTGTGAAATGATGGGTTGGTTCAGTAAGAGGTTGGACGTGAAAATGTTCAACCCTCAGACAAGAATAAGGATTGCCATGTTTAGTCACATCCTTATAATGGTAATGTGATGGATTGTTTTCCTGTTGAAGAAGCATCAATTGTAGTCCCCAGAGTGCTGGGGGAATTCCCTTTAAAGTCTCCAAAGAATGAGGGAAGGCACCAAGAAGCAGTGCAGATCTCCTTGCCCCTTGGTGCTGTTAATCTAGCACAGGTTTCTAAATCTGATGACAATGATTGTAATGCCTCTAGCAGTGCATTTGCTCCTGGATATGCCAACTCAGAGTCTGATCCAATTGGTTCACACTATCTTGAGCCTCCCGTGCCTGCTCGGAGGATCTTTCATTCTGAGCGAA